AGGCTCTCCTTCATTTTTGTTCAAATGGAATGTTTGTTAGGGTACATTAGGAATTTGGAGCGTGAGATTCAGACAATAGTATTTCAGTAATACATATAAATTCTTTGGAAATTCAAGCCTTCCGTTTTTGGATAAATATTTACCACTTGATCCAGGAGTTACAAAGTAGTAGTAAGCCTTGTCTTCTACTTCTTGACATGTTCTTTAACAATAATAATCCGATTAATTACATATTTATGTGGTTACTTCTTAATTTTTTGCCTCTTTGAGATTAATGCCACTATTAATTTAATTTAGTGCAAGTAGCCGCGTCAGCATTTAACTTGTTTAAGATTCGATCACACAATCACGGTGGGCTCACTAAAAGGATCCCATGGGCTGAATACAAGTGAAATCAGGATAGAGTTATTATAGTTTTGTTTATGCATGCAAATGAAGTATCCCTTTCAACAATTTGATGTTTAGTAAATATGTGAGGACATGCAAGTTTTAAGGTTAATATAAGTTATTGATTATTGAAATAAAGAAATTTTTTGCGTTTATGGGTTTAGATTTATTCTGATGAAATGCTAACAGTTCCTCCAAGAAATGAAATGATTAGGACAATTGATGGGAATAGAATCCAGTGCGGCAAGGGGATTTACCAAGGTAGTATTCAAAAAGTCAAACTAAACGCTGGTAAAACAGATAATAATCCAGTAATGCAAACATCATAGGGATTCACATTTTTTTCTTTCACAACCAATCAATTCAAGTAAACTAAATGGTTACAATAATACTATGCATCTGTTGATCATGTTAAACGTCGGCAATTTCAGCGAAGCGTTATCTTAGCAGATACATGTGAGTGGTGTTGATTGCTTTATTCAAGAACGAGTTTTTTGAATTGTTCATCTTGAACGGGAAACTAGTGATATGAAAATATTCACATCTGGTCCAATCATAACTGATTCTGATGATATTATGGCACAAATTACACTACATTGCGCCATGATGAGAAGGAGAAAGGGGAGATGAATTCACCTGTTTTGAGCATTATCCAAAGTTAGGGAGCTGCAGCAGGAAGAGAACTGCGAGACAGCATTGACATCGCCGGTTTGAATGAATCCTAAAAAAATAGTTTCGTGCAACTACTAATAGAAGTTTACTCACTCCAACATTTAAGTAATTTGGAAAGGGTATCGATGGAGTCTCACAATTGATGTCTTGGGTCAACGAGAAATAGGAGATTGGAGAGCGCATTTAGTCGAACTGATAGGGCACACATGAATTCTTCGAATTATGAGCGGGCTGCTGCGAACACACTGGGAAGAATCAAAAAGAGCCAAAAGATGGTGAGCATGATCTAACATTGTAACATTACATATTTAAGCGACCATAGCTTAATTCTTCGAGTAATGAGCAGTCAATTTCGTCAAATAAACTACAAGATACAGAATTGTAGTTAAATATGAGATTTTTTTCGTTTCCATCAATCACTTATTATAACATGATACGAAAATCAGCTCCTGATGTACGTGATAGCATCTCTCACTATGCCCCTACTTTTGATCATCCCTCTATTAGCGCGTATCTCTCTCTATATATATATATATATAGAGAGAGAGAGAGAGAGAAAATGAGAGCAGAAAGAACGAGAGAGACTTATGTCAACTTAAGTGGATCATCCACCAAGTTTCTATCATTGATGATACTAGAGATCCGTGCATCATATGACAGAGGCTTTCATCAATGAATGGGCAAACTTTGATGGATGCGTCACTTAAGTTTAATCTAAGTTTATATATATATATATATATATATATATATATATATATATATATATATATATAATATATATTATATATATATATATTATATTATAGGGAAAAGCTGTTCATAATGTGGCACTTAAATTTCAATCTAAGGAGCGCCTGCTTGATCATGAATAGACTATACTAATTGTGATCCGCTCCATTCATCGTGATCCTAAATGTCTCAAAACATCTATAACAAAAAATCTTATGAATAAATGCTTCTAATCATATTTGTTTATTGTTTATTTAGTTATATTATTGCTAAAACCGTCAATTTCACACAGTGGTTGTAAATAGCGGCGAATAGCGGCGATTAGCGGCCGCTATAGCCGCCTATTCGGGTCGCGGCCTTTCGCGCAACGCTTTGGGTCGTTAAGCGGCAGGTTAAGCCGGGAAAAACCGCTAAAGGGCTCGATCGCGCTAATTAGCCGCTTTAGCGCTAAAAGCGTTTAATAACGCATAACCCGCTACAGAGCTGCCTAACAAAATCTCCCAACCGACCGAACCCGCGACCGTTCGCCATTTCGTTTAAATCCTCTCGCCTGTGATTCTCGACAGAACCGAAGTTGTGCCCTAGGCGCCTCCGCGCTCTCGCACTGTGATCCCGCAACCCCAAACTCCAAGTGTGCCCTACCGCTCTCGCGTCTTCTCGTTACACAAACAGCGACGACTCGTCGCATTCGCTCACCAAACAGCCACTCGCCTCTGCCTCTCTCAGTTCCACAACAACGCCTCTCGACTTCCTCACCAAGAGCACTCCCGCCTCTGCCTTCTCGCCTCCGGCATGCCGACTCTCTCACTTTGCCTCCGACGACACTTCCCTCTTGGCGCAGCATTCTCATTTCTCAGTCGACATACCAGCGACTTCAGGTCTTTGCGAGCCATTTTTGCTATTGATTCTTTTCATCTGTTCCTGTTCCCTATTTATAAACATGGGATTTTTCTTCAGTGTTAAATTTAAATCATCATACCTCATACGCTATGCTTAAAACTTGATTCCCTTGCTTTTCTAACGAATGTCAAGTTCAAGTGAAATTCGTCTTTCTGGCAATGATAGCCAATTCTATCATTCATTTAAGATTTTAGACAATTATGAGACTTGTGTATTTATCCAATCATAATGCTTTTCAAAATAGTTGTGTACCTGTGACTTATTAATTTTAGGCCATTATTGAGACTGAATATTTTATTTTTTAGCTGTCAAATTTTAGCTAGTATATGATGAGATGTTACTATCGATTTTTTTAATTGTGAGCATTTTATGATTAGAGATTTGAAAATGGAAGAAATGGGACTAAATAACGGTTCTTTGGATAAACAGGTAAGTTTTTTTATTCTTTATCTTTATAATTATCAGTACTTTGTTAATTATTATGTATTATTACACATCTATTTCATGTTTAGCGCATCAAGTATGTATTTGTAGAATTTTTTAATTTTATATTGATTTTTTTTTCTTATTATTTAAGAATATTTTAAAATAATATTTTATATTTGGTTGCTTGCTATTTGACGTGTCGCTTTTGCGGCTATTTCGCCGCCAATAGCCGCCGCATAGCTCTTAGCGGTACGCTCGCCGCGCGAACGCGCGCGATCGCTATCAAACCTTGACTTCACATTCCTTGATTGCATGGGCTAATAAAGATTTTGTATACAATCCAAAACATTCTAAAACAAATGAACGGAGTGCGATCAGCATAATTTGATAGCATATAATATAGTTTTTAAAGGCGCTACCTAGATGAATCAAGGGTGTCATCTTATGACACTTCTCCGCATATAATATATATATATATATTATATATATATATATATCTATATATATATATATAATATATATTATATATAAGAAAAAAAATAGCGTATGCTTCGGTTAAAGTACAAGTTTTTTATGTTCGGTAATGGATACAATATTCCTCCACTTATTAAAATCGCGGACCCACATTCACCATGGGCTTGCGGGAGTGATGGGAATTGAAATGAGTGAATGGGAATAAGACAGCATCATACCAAGCAAATTGTGTCTGTACCAAACATACCTATTTTTTCTCTCCCCTCTCTCCATGGTAGTGACGCGTGCCACATCCCCCCCCCCTCCACTCATTCAAATGGGGACCCAATTCACATGGATTTGAGGAGTGCTATGGGGATATGTAACCATTTAGAATGAGTGGAGGGATGTGTCACTCACTATCAAACACAAAATTTGTGCTTGTACCAAGCATTCTCATTTCTCATACTATATATCATATATGAGAGAGAGAGAGAAAATGGGATATGCTTGCGTACAAGCATAAAAGAATAATCTTTGGTACGTGGAGGTGTCACATTCTCATCCACTACTTGAATGGCAGTCTATATATATATATTATATACTATATATATATATATATATATATATATATATATATATTTTATATAATATATATAAGAGCAACTGCGTTGGAATGTGTGTTGCAAAAGGCTCCTCTTCATTTTTTTCAATGAATTTCCAGCGGTTAGGTAGCAGTTAGGAATTAGAAAACAGTTGAGATAGGCAGCAATAATTCAGTAATATCATATTACATTCTTTAGATTTCAAGCACCGCTTTTAGGATAAAAACCTTTACCAGTTGACCGAGCTTAAAAAGTAGTAGTAAGCTTGTCTTCTACTTTGACATGTTCTTTACAATAATAATCCGATAATGCCACATTTATGGATGCTTCCTTAATTTTTTTGCCTCTTTTGAGATTAATCCCACTGTACTTTAATTTAGTTAAATTTGTAGCCATTTTAATGGTTTAGATTCTGATCACAGCAACACGGTCGCCTCACCAAAAGGCCCCATGGGCTGAATACATTTCCCACTATCTGTACAATATTATTTAGCAGCGCGCCTCACACTTTCATAGCTTTTTGGACTCATCATTAGAAACTATTTAATGCCGCCTCACTTGAAAAAAAAACAAAAGCAATTAATTCAAAAAGACACCTAGTTGTGGGCCTCGTGAGGATCGTGGCTTCGCTTCTTCCTCATGGCTTGCTGTCGCTCGCGGCACCTGATCAGGATGAGTCAGGCTTACGTGAGCGAGTCTTGCGTTTGCGAATTCGGCTGAAACCCACAAAACAACTGATTTCCACAATCATTTCGTTTCCAAAGGGCCCCAAAAAAAAAAAAAAAAAAAAAAAACCCTGCATGCAAAACTCATAACAATTACCAATACCTGAGGGAGCAACTAGAGGGCCCTGGGTCCTAAAGAAATACAGCTGCTCGTAGTGATGGAGGAGGCTCAAATAGTACTTCCTCAAAACAAAAGAAGCACTCGTTGTCGTCGGAGGAAAATCGAAGGTTGCAATCACATCCCTCCACCTCCTCTCCAAAATCACCTAATTTTTCGCATAATTAACCAATTTAAAATAATCAGGATACATATACAGTCGCATTAATTAGCATATAATCTCTTAACATTACATTACCTTCTCTAGACCCCCCCGTTGAGTGACTTGAACATACAACTGGTGCAAGTTCAGCTCCTTCCCTCCAATCACAGGAATCCTAAAAGTCGATCGAGATTTAAATATAAAAAAAAAGAAAAACACTTGGAAATATCCATAAGAAAAAAAAAGGAAAGATTGTAACAAAAATGTACATGCATGCATACATGAATCTAGAGCCAAGGGCAGAATGTAGCCGTCGGAGGGTGTCGTAGAACGCGATCGGGTTCGTCGAAACCTCGACGTGGGATAACAGAGGAGGAGGATAAACCTTGGGATGAACGTCATTAGCCATGCTAACATCGCTCTTGACCCCTAATGTCATCTCCAAACCCTCAGCAGCACCCCTCTCTGTGATCTCTAACCCTTCACCCTCCCTCAGTTCCGCCCCCATCGCGGTCTAGTGACGAGGGTCAAAAGCCCACAGCGGGCTGGGTAGAGGACAAACGAGGGCGGCCAAATGGAGAGAGGGCAGCGAGAGGAGAGGCCAAATGGAGAGGGAGGTTAATTAGTCCAAATTATTTTGAGTGAGCTTCTCACAAATCCTGCAGCATTTTTAGCCGCAGCTATAAACTCAGCGCGTAACGAGTTTACTAAAGTTGGCGGACGCGTGGATTAGTAACGTATCAACCCCCCCTCCTTTTAGTTTGTTTCTCCGAGGCCTACTACGTATGTGTATGTTTTATTAATGAGCAAGTAAAATAGTAGCAGCAGATTTCTAAGTATCTGCGCCGCTCGTAATTATTACAATCTCCTGCTGCAAACCTAGGAGAGCTAATGTCATAGAATCTAGGTATCATTAAAGTCTATAGTTTCGTATGTTGATTAGATCCACAAATTAAAATGGGTTTATAATGATAAAAATGTCAGCTGACCACGTTGTGACCATCTGACGTGGCAATTCCTGGCGGGTTGTCTAGATGGGTGCATCGAAGCTTTTGAGAGGAGCAAAGGTAGGGTTTGGGCGCGCCGTACACTGACTTTTACTTACCGTATAATTCGAGACAATAGAGGGGCAGGGATTAATACGCGAATCTCTGCCATATCTTTTCACCGCATCGGCACTTTATTAAACCCTAGTAGGGATCTTATTTTTTACTCTTTTGCTATACGTATGACATTGATGTATGTGACTCCTATTGATGTGATAATTAAGATCCTACTAAAAATACTCCCAAGTTCCAAGTCTATGTGGCCGCAATATCTTCACGCTTTTGTAGTATTAAAATCTTCTCGCTAGTAGTTAGAAAATAGGTGTGCTGGTGACGTGCTGCTGCTTATCGTGTTAAGATGGTAATTAATGAACTTTGATCACGTGTGTAATTAGACATTCCTAAGCTAGCTGTAAGATTTGGCAAAAATAATATATAATTTTTTGAATAGGCATCTTGCCCTATTTCATTGTGAAAAAAAAAACAGATTTAGAAAAACAATCTAAAAAAGAGTGTTTACGTCAAAACCATCTTTACTTTTACCTAAATTGATACTTACAACATTTAAAGTTTTTTTTAATATAAATCATCTTTACTTGCTAACATGTTTGTAATGTCACATCTTCTTCTTCATTCCCATTTTACTCCATCTTCTTCATTCCAACCCCTAACCCTAACACTAGGCTCCTCCATCCTCCTCTTCTACAAACCCTAACCATAATCCTAACCCATGGCCGCCACCTCCCCGAAACCCTAACCCTAATCCTAGTTCCCACTTGGGAAGGAATGGGAGAATAGGAGGCTGCGGAGGAAAAGGGAAGACGAGGGGGAGGGGGAGGAGAGTTGGGGGAGGAGGGAGAGGTAAGACCGGGAGAAGAGGAGGATGAGGAGGCTAGGGTTAGAGTTAGGGTTAGGGTTTATGAGGAAGGAGCTAAAAGAAAAAGAAAAGGATGATGATAAAAGGGTCATTTCGTGTATTTTTTTAGCTGAAAACTAGATTAGTTGTGACATTGAAAACATGTTAGCAAATAAAAATGACGTAGATCACAAAAAAAAAGTTTAAAGGTGGTAAGTATCCATTAGTTAAAATTAAAAATGGTTTTGATGTGAAAACCCAAAAAAACGAGTCTTTGCATTTTATTAGGAGGCTAATGAAATACATAAGTGTATTATAATGCATGATATTTCTCATGAGCTAGCTAGACATCTTTTTGTGAACTTTCTCAAACCATGCATGTGCAAAATCTAGGTCAAAAAGGATTACTTCTTTTTCATTAACTGCTGGATAAGGACACAGTGGATACATAAAGAACCCTATGTACAAATCATAACAAAGGACAAGTGTGTTTAATTTTATTTATCTCTGATTGGTAACTCCATCTTCTTTGCACTTTGTATCCCCTTAAAAAAGATCATATTGACACTGGCAAGACCAAAATTGAGCCAAGAGCTCTTCAGTCCTAGGCTCCTACCCTTGCTAGCTAGCTTCTAACAAACACAGCGCCGCTACTAGACAAGAGCAAGAGTACGTGTTACTTGAGTACTGCTTAGCATACAACCGGGAGACCATAGAGAGATAGAGAAGGTGGAGCCTCAGGGTCTTAGCTAGGCTTTTTTTTTTTTTTTTTTTTTTTTTTTTGTTAAAATTCAGTTTGGATAAAACCGAGCTAAACCTAGTAAAAACTAATCTTAGCTAAACCTAGTAAAAACTAATCTTGTTCTTTGAAGTGGCTTTATTTTAGACAACCTCTCTCTTGTCCAATGTTAGGGTAAAGAATGTGTATTCGCCTCAAACAACAAAATCTAGGTATTAGATTTTTTGCAACGTCCCCTTTGTATATCAGAACTCTCTATTTAATATTTGAGCATTTATCACTAATTCATCTCCAACGCATGTTATAGATGGACCTCTAAGCATTGCAATTAGCGATGGTAATGATGTTAGATAGAGCGGAGATTGATCAGGATTCATCTCCGACTTTAACCTAATCAATCTCTGTAATTTTGAATCAGGTTCGCATCAACATGCCCCGTAAGGTCAAGATCATCATATATACTTATCCTCATTCTCATTTTTGACTCGAAACGTACAATTTTAACCATTGGTGAACTTATATAGTAGTAATCTAGAAATTAAGTAACATTTCCCTGTGTGGTTGTTAGGGCTTGTAGTTTTTCTAGTGCTTTTGTACGATAACCTCCAAAGAGGTATTTGTCTTGTATGCATATAGCCAAACTCTCTCACATGCTCCACGGTTTATTCTTCCAGGTGTTAGGAGTTTCTAGAGGTTGTTTGGTCGTCTCGGACTCTGGGCTACGACTGTGAAGATAAGAGCTACCTAGAGACCTAACACTAAGGTGCCATTTGGCAACCGGCTAAGTGAGGGATTAATAAGGCTTAACTTTTTCTTAACCTTAACCTGTCAAATATAAACAATTTATATAATAGTTATAATGAGTTAACCCTTTATAATTTGTCAAATATAAAAAATGCATAAGGATCAAGCTAACGGCTCTAGAGGAATTAAAATGAATTAACTCCCTAAAATGAGGAGTTTATTAATACTCCTATATATATGGAATAATTAAGAGTTAACCCCTCTATTTATATATAATGAAAATAGTCAAAATCCTCGTTATTCCCAAACACTAAAACTGTCATATGCCCTTAGTCCACGGGCCCGTTGGCGCGTGCAAGCCGTGCGACCCACCAAGAATAACTAGATGTTGGCTAAAATTTATTGTCAAATTGCTAGCACTAGTTGTTCTTAGGCCTTGGACTTCTCAATTTAAGCCACTAACATTTCTTCACACTGGTCCATGTGAGACTAAAGTGGGGTTGTCACAATCGCCTCACTTTAGAAAGACGACGTCCTCGTCGTCACGACATGATAATTGGCACATCCAAGTGTCGCTACCAGGCAATGTGAACTCTAGAGGTGGCTCACACCGCATCCACGCGGTGTAGCACTTAGCTCCATATAGCACTTAGCTCCACATTTTCGGTTGGCTAACTGTTCTGATACCATTTGTCACGCCCCTGGCCCATGGGCCCGTTGGCGCATGCAAGTCATGGCACCCACCAAGAACAACTCGATGTTGGCTAAAATTCACTGCCAAATTGCTAGCACTAGTTGTTCTTAGGCTTTGGGCTTCTCTATTTAAGTCACTAACATTTATTCACACCAATCCATGTGGGACTAAAGTGGGGTTGTCACAAAAACTGATCGCTAGGGCTAAATTAAAACATATTTAACAGATTAATAATTTAGTCATTTGGGTTATTGAATGGACTAACTACGTTAATCATTTTCCTTAATCCTTTTTCCTTAACTCTTTGCCAAACAGGACCTAAGAGGTTAATTCACATACATCACGTATGCTATAAGAGTTAATCATTTATAATCTCTAAATTTCTTTTAGCACTTTGATCCCAGCTCACAAATGAGTGATGTCTTACATTATTTTTATGCTAATTATCAGCACTTAAATACCCTATAGTTTTCATAAATTTGCGCTTATATACCCTTAGTTGTTTTTAGCAGAGCTTATATACCCTAAATTTTTAATGTTACACTTTAATACCTTATGTTATACATACATTATAATTTTTCCCCTTATTTTTTTATGTGACACTCATAAACTAATTTTATAACATTTTACAACTTGATTTTTTTTCGAATTTATTGCTAAACATACCATAATTCTATTTTAAACCTACCCCCGTTAATATTTTAAGATAGAACTTTAGTTGGTTAAACAGTAAATTCAACTCCAATAACCAAAGGGTAAAGAGAAACGTGAATAAAGTTGATGGAACATGGAAGAGAATTCGGATATTCAAGATGCGTGATAACCAATAACAAAAGAAAATATTTACATGTCATATGAATTATAAGGGCGTGAATTGAAAGAAAAAAAAAAGGTCCCTTTCCGTAAGCAAAAAATATTGCTTTGTCCCCAGTTAGAACGTGTCACATAATCAAACCCTACAACCCACAAACGTTGTCGCTTGGCATGATCACAGATCCGCAGGCAAATATTGCTTCGAAAGCTTCATAGTGAACCTCTGCTGATACTAAAATACGCAGAGAAACTCTTTCTCTAGTAACTTCAATAGCATCTTGCGGGCAAGATGCAATACCAGGAAGCTTTCTACAAAATTCATGATGGGCAAAGAGAACATCTCTACTGGAGTTTAGATGGTACACGTATGTCACATACCAGATCCTAAGGTTTTTCCTGCCAAATCTGAGGACGGTAGAGGTTGTTGTGTAGAATCCGATAACCAGAAGAAATTTTAATCGAATCGAATAGAATAAGAAGGTTTTTTGTCAAGTGATGATAGTATGGGATTTTCAGTAAGTTATTCTATACAATTTGATAGCCAGTCCAGGATCCAAGTTTGGTCTGTGTGACCAGCCCTAGTAGTGTTGGCACAGATGGACGATACAAACATCCCTCCAAAAAAGGAGGGGGAAGGAAGCAAGAAAACCTGCATGTTAAAAATGCTAAGGAAAAGAGCCATGTAGAATGTCATAATATACCCATCTACTACTGAACTGCTGAACACCTGAGGCACAGTCCCTTATCGCAAAATGGTATAATTCAAAACTGACTTAGATTTATGACAGATACAAGTCTTTTTGCTGCACCGCAAATTTCGGATTAGTTTTAAGTATTGAAGTTATAATGCTGTGCTATAAAGATAATGTTAGCAAGTTGTGGTCCTATGGACATCTTTATGACACGAACTTTGGTTTCTCTACAGGGTACTTAATATATATTTCTAAATGTGCATCTAACAAAATCTGATACTAGTTCTAATATTCATTAAATGTTATGTTGAATTGAAGGCTAATTTTACATCCTATCGGACACTTTAAATGTGTAACAAATGTAGAAACATAATCTAACCTAAGCCTTGCACCTGTATCAGCCAATGCCTAAAAGACCATTCCATAAAGGGCAAAAATCAATTAATCGCTCACTTAATGTGTTCTTACTGATGTGAATGTTGCCCATCTAGGAGAATGTAGGCATGCAACCCCTTAGATCACTCCGTATCTCATCACAATCCTACTTGATCTTCTAACTTTTCTTTACTATGCAATACCTACCAACACCATTCTCAATTTACCAAATAATTATAGCCACGGAGTGGCTTTCATAGTCCTACTAGATAATGTAGATAGATATCCTGCATTCCATATAATTTTTCCAAGAAACACTTAGGGCCTGTTTGGCAACCTCATGAGTAAGACCAGGATAGATTCAATCCAGGTCCCAGTTTGAAAAGAACTGGACCAGTTCTGTTTTGATCCAATCACCCCCCTAATTCACTAGATCTAATAAAACGAGAATCTAATGTCTTAAAAACAAGCTTTCTGCGAAATATACCAGTATAGAAGCATCAGTCTTTATCACCCAGATCTTATAACTTTTATTTCCAAAGGACTACATGCACTCCATCCTGTTCTACTTTGCCTAGAAGCTGTTAGATTGCAAAGAGCTCCCTGTGATGTCAAAAGGTTTGACAAGAAACCATGTTGTCATATTAGAATCAACGAGAATCAAATGCCTTAAAAAGACACTATCTGTATCTGCTACATACAACAGCATAGAAGCATCAACCTTGATCACCCAGATACTAATAACCTTTATTGGCAAAGTACAACATGCACTCTATCCTATTCTACTTCACATAAAAGCCATGAAATTGCAAAGAGCTCCCTGTAATGTCAAAGGTTTGACAACAAACCATGTAACCATGTAGTCATATTAGAATCAACAAAACCCCCATCATACTATCACATTCATCAGAGAACACCTTGTCTTACCATACAACTTGAGTCCAAAATGATTTATTCATTCTAACAAAGAACACACCAAAGCATCTCAGATCTGATAACAAATTCATGTACTTAGTATTAATAGAAATTACATGATAATTAAGATGGTATAGAAGTGCTTCTTATAATCCAATTGAATTCATTTGGACAGGAGAATTTTCTACTGGTTCAGTAAAACACAAAAGTTTGCTGTAGAATCTTGATAATAAGGAAGATTTCTACATTCCAAAATAAATCGAGGAAATCAGAAACTAGTCACTATTTAAGAAAGAATAACATGTCTACCATTTGATTCGGTAACTTTGAAAGGATGTCATAAATTGGGGGAAAGGGAGACAAAGAAATTACCCAAATAGAACTATAACCAAAGAATACCATGCTAAAAAAATAACATCATACAATAAGATGTTGATAGAAATAAAAAGAACGGAGGAAAATAATAATCAACTGTAACCTATTTATCTTCATTACCTGATGGTGGCGACCAATTTTCTTGATAAAGAAGATGACCAGTGACGAGGAACCTATTGAGCGGATAAATAGGGTCCGGGGCTCACTAGAAAGGAAAGTGCTTTCCTAATTAGGAATGAATTTGGGAGGATTCACCATTATATCCTTTTCTCTCGATTTTGTCGCAGAAAAAGCCAAATACCACACCTCGTAAAACTCGCTACGGTTTTGCGTACATAATACAATATACGGTATACAATGTAGGAGAATGAATACAGAACTAATTACATTACACTCATAAGACAGAAAATAGTTAAGATTTTAGAAATGCGTATGTGTGTTGATATAGTATGTTTATTGCAATAGTTTGTGTACTCGACAAAAATCACAAAGGATTTGATCTTAAAAAAAAAAAGATAACATGTGATCTAAAGTTTCAACTATTTGTATGATATAAATTTAAAATGCAGTAGGGAATCAATAATTGTGTGAAGTTGCTAGATTTATCTGTGAGCCTAAAAGTAGAATACAAGGTTATCCTCACTGTATAGTTTCTAAGAATTTGTAGTTTTATGCCATGTTTGTTCGGCTAGCCCAAATGTACATAATTGTTTGTTTTCGTGCTACGTATATAAGTCTAAGGATGATTTTAAGACTCTTACCTTGCATTGTTCCTTCATGCTACGTGGGGTCTATTGTATGAAATAGATGTCTACTAAATCGTTTCTGCAATCAACGTAAGAACTACAAAGTTTTTTTAATCAATTTAAGTGTCGACTGTCTTACAACTGACTTATATGGAAAATTCTTTATTTTGATCCATATAGGTCCGTGACAGAAAAAGACCAAAGAAAACCAATGGGTAGTCACCTGGATTTCCGGAGTGGGTAACATTAGTTTCAGCAGCTTAATTGAAGAGTCAGTGTTGATAAGAACCCAGACTATCTGTATGGCTTATCTGTTGTTTAGAGTAAGCCATACAGATAAAGCTCAACATAGAAATGCTTCAATCATGTTAGTTACATGCTAAAATTTATGTTATGCTTCATATTTAGAAAGAGTAACAGATTTAAAGATAAAAGTTCGATTTAGTAACTAACAACTTAAAATTTGGATTAGATTGGATTTTACCTGTGTTTAAGATTCATATAACTTGAAAAAAGGGCTTGGTACTCCTCAATGAAGCAATATAAAAGTCCAGCATTGTTGTTCATGAGGAGAAAAATGTCCCACCGTCCCACTACCATGTTGATAGTAATCCTATGGACCTATGAAGGTTGTACTTGGTAACTCTGATGTTGTTCAAGACTGGTTGTTTAGACTAAATCAGATTTAACCATGAAGGATGGATGATGTCCTAAATTGTATGCCGAAGAATCCATGTTTTCATTTGGATGGTGAATGGTGTACTAGATTGTTTTCCAGGGAGTCCATGATTTTTCATGGATGATGGAGGTAACATTACACACAAATGAAGATATTTTGTCACTAGTTCAAATTAAATTGTAGGCTTTGCTTAAGCCTACAATTAGAAAGAATTAGAAAGAATAATGGACTTAATTAGAAAGTTATGTCAGATCAAATTAAATTGTAGATTGTCAGATCAAATTAAATTGCAAAAGAATTAGAAAGAATAATGGACTTAATTAGAAAGTTATGTCAGTCAGATCAAATTAAATTGTAGGCTTTGCTTAAGCCTAATAATTAGTTATGATATTGTAGATTGTCTTAGGCACAAATAAGACTTTTATTCTAAATTTAATTAAAATTTTGTGTGACAATATTTTGACACATGCCCCTTGTCAGAATTACACCTTCTTTCCCAAATTACATATATCTTAGATTAGCTTCATACTTTGTTTCATTTCGTATTCTGAAGGATCCTTTATACCTTTGGTTTTCTTGATTATATTCAACTAGGCCTACAAAAAAAGTACGATTCATCTCTTAATCTCTAAAAACACCTTGTTCCTATCTTAAAAGTTAAACCTTCTTCACTAGCACAGTTACTCAATTTAAATTTCTCAAAGAAAGATTACGAACAGACATTTGGACCTATTGAGAAGAAAGTGAACACTATGTGCTAAAGTGTATCAATAACGAGCATCAACTTACCCATACCTTGGGTATCACACAGCTGCCACCTCAAATTATTGATCCTCTTTGATAATGAGGCCTATGTGACACCCAATTAAGAAAGGTGCTCTGGATATTCTCTAATACAAAAAACTAAAACACCTCCCTAATAAAAGAAAATGTGGAAATAGTGATCACCCTAAATCACTCAACAATTTTGAAGGCACATAGAGAAGCAGAATGAAAAGAAGGCTCCTCTACAATACTTGGAGGGGGCAGATGCAGAGGACATAGAATATACTTAACTATTTTCTGATAATCATATTCTTCAATACCTTCAATTTTCAAAAAGGCCCTCAATACTAAATTGAAAGAATTAAAGAAGGGTATAGAAAATTGTAAATAATAAAGTATTAGAAGACATGACAAAACAAAGAAATGAAGCTGGATAGCATATAAAAGTCAGAAAAAAAATCATGACTATAACGGAGTCCTTAATCAATAAAAGTAATTATCAGGGGAAAAAATACAACAAACCTTCTCTCTGAATCGATAAAGAAGAAAATTGTAACATACCATAACAGAATGTTCATAAGAGGAAATTAATCTGCCATTTTATCAACTTTGGCATGTTCACCGTTTGCAGACCTTCCCTTTGACTCTTGGAAACGAAAATCAGGATAATTACGATGGTTCAAGGAATGAAGCCATAGAGCAACAGCTCCTTCTTTGTGTTCCATAGACGCAATGTGAGAGAATATATATTTCAACTTAAATTCTTCAGCTTGTTTAGCATAAGCATCCATGGAGAGTGCCTCATGTGAATCCTTCCACTTTTGGTTGTAAGAAGTGAAGAAACATTCATCTAAATACAACCCAACCTCTGGCGCCGTTGGCACATTGATATTTATATCCCTGAAAAGAAAATCACAATTACTCCATGTTCCTAGTACTAAGCATTGTAGAAGTTTTTCTGAGTTCATATCATAGATTAAATATATCTTTTAGCTACTGCAAGCTAAGGATATTTTAATACAAAAATATCAAGTTTCCGAATATGTTCCTAGAAACATGAACGATTACATAGCAAAGCATTTGAGCATCTGTTATCGCATGCTGCAGAAACAAAGGTAGACGCTTGCCATATGGCAGCTCATGAGAAACAACATTTATTATGATTTTCTTTGTACTTGGTGAAAGCCAGAAATCAAATCATCTTTATATCAATGAAGCAACACTTTAATCAATGAGTGATTATCATTCACAGGTATGAGACAGTTTCTTTAGATTCACTTCTCAAAACTCAATGGGTTAACCCTGAAAGTTTTAAGAGTTACATCCAGATTAATGTGTATCATGATAACAACATTGCACCACAACAGCTAGCTAGCAGAGGCGGATCCAAAAACTTTGGTCACTAGGCGCAAGCTACAAGTCTACAAGTATGACTAATATGTTATATTTTAAACTAAATATTAGTGACATGAAGACAAAATATGCATGTGTGTGCGTGTGTACAACCAAAATATAGTCAATCGATATACCTTATTAAAATTCTTTACAATTGTTCTCTCCGCATTTTCATATTTTGATAATGTTTTATGATATTCTCTTTGTCAATGCTATCAAAAATATCTCTTTCAATACTAGTGACCAAGAAATTAATCAGTCAGTCATCTCTTTGCAGGTCGTAAAATTGATCTCAAAGATTTGTATTAATTGAAATTGGATTACAAATCAAAAATCACTTTTACACAGAAGCGAAGAGAATTGATTCGATCTCTCCTTATTTAACGTGGGTTCTTTAGTAGCGATAGGATGTCTCCCTCGATGCTCGTGTCGAATTTGCTTCCCTTGGACGATTTGAATGAGATTGCGGGCAAGTTTCAATGCGTGGTAGAAACTTGAGTTGAATAGTTCGATCACCCGAGCTTGAAATCATGGTTGAATGCTCAAAATAGGCAAGATTTGGTTCTTTTATCTCCCAAAAGACCGAATGCTTAGTGAATTCAGATCTCAGAAAGCTAAGATCAAGAAGATGCAAAGAGCTAAGAATTAGATCTCAAAGATGCTAAGATCGAGATTAATTCAAGAATTCGAGAGCCAATGATCCCCTTTTTTTGTAGTCGAAAGATCATAACTACCCCCTTAGAACGTAGGGAGTGGGCGTAACCACTCCCACAATTCAAGTAAGTGATTTTTAACCGCTCAGGCGAGGTTGAAGAGCTTGCAGGCGAGGTTGGCAAGCTTGCAAGTGAGGTTAGCGAGCCTGGCGAGCTTGCAGATGAAGTTGGCAAGCCTGGCGAGCTTGCAAGCGAGGTTGGCAAGCCTGGCGAGCTTGCAAGCGAAGTTGGCGAGCCTGGCGAGCTTGCAGGCGAAGTTGGCGAGCCTGGCGAGCTTGCAGGCGAGCCTGGCGAGCAGACGAGGTTGACAGGCGAACCCCTTAAGCGTTCAGGCTAGCTTAAACCCTGTTAGCGAGCTTGGATCGTGCGAGCGAACCTCCTGCGGGCGAGCTTGACTCGTGCGGGCGAGCGAAGCATTCAGGCGAGCTTAGCTAACTTGCGAGCTGGCGAACAAAGATTCAGGCAAGCTTAGCTAACTTGAAAGCTGACGAACTAAGCATTCATGCGAGCTTAGTTCTTTCTAGGCGAAGTCCAATGCTTAGGCGAACTTCGCTTCGCCTGCGAAGTCCAGCATTCAAGCGAACTTGACTTGACCTATTTAATGCAAGCGACTAAGACATATGAGCTTTGTTCTTGCGAGCTTGGATGCTTAGGCGAAGTACAGCGTCCAAGAACATAACTTGCTGCGAAGCACGTGTCATAACTTTCAAACCTTAAATCGAAATTAGATGAATTATTTATGAAAATCGACAATCTCAACGAGACGGGGCCGTCCAAACCTACTGAAATTCGGTTTGTCGCTGTCCATTTCGCCAAATTCCCTTCGATTTGAGAGATATCAGCGTTTTTATCCGTTTTTTACTATTTTTGGTAATGTTCTTGCAGGCAAGCTTCTGAATTTCTCTGTTAGGGATAAAGGCAATTTTATTTGCCTACACTCTTGCGTGGTTGCGCATTCGATTCTTCACTAAAAATGTTGTTTCCATAATCGCAATAGTAATTGGTAAGATCAAAGCTTATTTCACAAGAAGATACACCAAGAGATATGCTTTCCTATCTCCATTAAATTCTCAGAAAGATCACAATTCCTTTTAAGTTTCAAAATCCATAATCTGATGGCACATATAAAATGTAATTCTGAAGCTTTGCATCAGGAGTCATGATTTCCACCGAGAATTCTAAAGGATAGAACTAGACAAGCCAATTTTTTTTCTTTTCTTAATTACCAAAAGCAACAAATGTATCTTTTAGGCTCAAGCATGTGACTCAAAGGAGCAATTCAATATTCAATGTAATATTAGTTGATTTATTTCCAAGGTCATCAAAATTTAGTATGCAACACTTCATAGTAATATGACTATCATGATTCATCATTGAATCATAGTTTGAATCTTCTGGAGTTGGAGAGATAGTTGTAGATTTGAAATTTTCACATATCATTACTTGGGTTTAGAATTCAGTTATGAAAATTGCACATTGCTTTCTTGTCACCCACACATGCACAAGGGACTATGCTCGTGAGAACTAAGTCCTGACCATCTTCCTTGCTCTCTGCCACACATCCATACACACACAAACTCACGCCCATAGTTATATGGATATTCATGCATTCAGCCAGTTTCTCACATATAGACTTAATACTCGATGTATTCCTAGGAGTCAGTGGGGGCAGTTGACCCCACTGCCAACTGTAGGTCCGCCGATGGCTAGTAGCATTCTTAACCAACATGAAACCATCACATGAACAACTATCACAATTTCTAAGACTGCATTACAAATATATGAGTTATTTCTTCGCATCTCGCATAGCAACTGATTGCAGAGGATGACAAAAAGACCAGTTTCATCTTGGTAAAAATGCAGCTATTATTTGAGAGCTTAGAAGAATGCAGGAAATATTACGAATATGAATCTTACTGTCTTAGCGCCATATCCATCAAGGACTCTGGGCAGCAATTCCTCATCATGGCAACTGCGAGACCAATCATCTTCCGTATCTGATGAAGCATGAAGCTCTGGCCAACAACCTCACATCTCACAAACTCAATCCCTTCAAGACTAACAACACGATCAGCATTGAAGGAGATTATGTATCTCCGAGCTGATGGGTCTTCTGCCTTTGTTCTTGTCGTGAAATTGTGGAAGTTGTGAGTTCCTACATAACGCTTTAGAATGCCATTAAACCTCTCCCTCTCTTCATCACCATACTCAAACTTGCTGCCACCCAACCCAACAATTTGCTCCCCATTAATTACATTGACACCAAGTTCCTTGTTCAAAACACTGGTCTCCAACAAAGATCCTTCTTCGTCTAATCTACTACTAGGTTCATCTTCTTGCGAGATCTTAGAATCGCAAGGTGTCATCTCACAATCCACAAATTGACTTTTCACCTCCACAGCTGAAACCCCAATTTCAGCTTCACTTCTGCCCTCAGCATTCGAGTTAAAGTCAACAAGTTCAGTTTTTTCATCCTCTTTTGGAACCCCAGAAAACCCAAGTTCTGATTTCACACTACAAAGCTCAGTTTTTTCACTGACCCCGATTTCCAGCTTCAACCTCGTGCCTTTCTTCCTCTTTCGAAACAAGCGAATCCCCAAGATCTGCTTTTTCAATTTTTACATTAAATCCCCCGTTTCCAGCCTCAAGCTCGCTCCGTTCCTCCTCTTTCGAAAACCTGAAGGACCTCCCAACAACCCCCGCCACCTTCCTCCCTCTCTCCGAGCACTCGATACACTTGACAAGCTCGTTCCCCGACCCAACACTCTTCATCACACTCTCTCGATCCGGATGCGCGTTCGGATCCAGGGCAAACACCGGCAACAGATAAACATACCGCCTCCGATCACAAAACTTCTTCGCATTGAACGAGTTGGTCACCCTACTGAACCCAAAAACCCTAATCTGCTCCGACAAGTTCGAATTCATCCGCTCGACGAATCCGGGCGGGTCGACGTAAAACCGACCCGATACGACCTGGCCGGCGGACGCACGCTGTCGGTCATCGAGGGGAGCGCCCAGTCGTAGCGGTTTCGGGTTGCACTTGTCGGATCGGGGACGGCGCGCGACGAGTTAGAGGCTTCTTCGAGGTCGGGATTCGATTGGTGCGGGGCGCCGGGTTTTCTGCGCCTGGACCGAACCCGCACGTAGGGCGATTGGAAGATGGCGACCTATGCGGCGTTTGTACCGGAACTCTTTGGCTCGGCCGGCGGCGGCAGGCGGCGCGGATTCGGGTTCGGGGTCGGAGGGGAGGCGCGTCAGTGTTGAATCTTCGTTTTTTTGGGAGGGGAGGGGAAGTCGGAGGCGGAGAGCCATTTGGCGGTTCTGGCTTTGGGCCATGAGTCGAGCGGGGGGAAGAGAGGTTTGCGAGCGATGTGAAACCCTAGGAGTCGGAACGGGTTGGGTTTTGCGAGTCGATTATGGATCCGAGAGTCCCCGCTCTCATCAACTTTTCTTCTCGCTTTTCATTTTCCTTTTTTTTTAAGGAGCTGTTTGGTTCGTTTCTTAGATACAGAGAAATGCATTTTCATGTATAAAAACATAAGTTTTGACTTTTCCAAACTTTTCCAAGAAATAGATTGTTTCGCTTTGGTTCGTGTTTGTTGGAAAAATTACAAAGAAGAGAATAAAGAAAATTGACTTGGATTCCTTTGATCTCGATTACAACTTGATTACAAAAGAGGAGAGAACGAATTTGATTCTCTCCTTTGTTTAAAACTGGGTTCTTCTCGGTAGCGATGGAATGCCTCCTTCGATTGCTCGCGTCGAAATTGCTCTCCGTTGACGATCCGACCGTCTTCTATTTCGTGGGAACGATGAACTTCTGTGGAAAGTTTTATAAGTAACTCTTCAATGAGTTTAAGAACTCTGAACGAGTTAGAACTCTGTGCATAGAGTTGTTAGAACCGAAAATTCGGTTAATGATCAAGCTGTTATTCTGTTGTTGAAAAATCCTCTCAGGTTTGATCTTCTGAGTTTGATTCAAAAATCATATCTCCAAGGATTTCGCTGCTGCCGTTGAATCGCCAAAACCTGAGTGGTTGAGATCTTCCCCCCCGATCTTTGCTAACTCTTCTCTTTTTAGAACTGAAAATCTCCAACCTGTCCGGTTTTGATCTTTTGAATCCAACCTGTGCGGTTCAGATGCCCAAAATCCAACCCTTGCTCTGTTGGGTTCGTTGAGCTTTTATAGGGGGGTAGGAGGTTATAACTGACCCCTATATCCGCTCCTACGTGGGCGAACATCCCTCAGAACGTGGGATAAACGGTTTTGGAACCGTTCGACTCATGTTTGAACGAGTCAAACGCCCATTCTGGCGTTCAGAACCCAACTTCGTGTCTTAGGATTGAGACGCGAGGTTGGGTGTTAGCTGAACACCATTGAACGCGAGGGTCACTCGCGTTTAGCTTGTTGCCTGCTTGGAAACGCGGGGGTCGGTGTTGGTTGGACCCCTACGAACGCGAGGGTCCAGAAGGAGCTTTTTGACTTGTAACTTCTTCTGTGAAGCGTTGCGAGGACCGTTGTTCAGTAATCCTGGCTTTAGCTGTTGTAGGGTATGAAAGTTGTCAGATTGTAGCTTTCACTGTAGAATGTGAAGACTGCTGAATAGAGTTTTCATCAGTTGTCGGAAGTGTCGTTGGATTGTAACTCTTCTCGATCTATGTGAAAAGTCCTCTATTTGCCGCTTTCGATTGTCGACCCGAAAGCTATTTGATTGTAGCTTTCGTTGTGAGAGCTTGACGGGAATCAACATCGATAGTGTCTTGAAGACGAATATTTTCCCACAGCTCTCTACCAAGCAACTATTTGATTGTATGTTTCGATTGTCGGCGCGAAAGCTATTTGATTGTAGCTTTCGTTGTGAGAGCTTGACGGGAATCAACATCCATAGTGTCTTGAAGACGAATATTTGCCCACAGCTCTCTACCAAGCAACTTACCACCTAAGTCCAACCTTTTCTTTCTAAAATCATTACACTGCTCATCAGCATCTCCAATAGTTGCTAATAATACTATTCATGCTGTTGTCGCAGCCATCAAGATCAATCATCTCAGAAGTGAGGTCGTGTTTGTAGCGATTGTGGAGTTACGGATGCAGTGATTGGGAAGTCGTCTGATTGTGACCTCCATTGTCGGAGCTTATTTGGATCAGCTATCTAATGCAGTGATTGGGAAGTCGTCTGATTGTGACCTCCATTGTCGGAGCTTATTTGGATCAGCTATCTATTATGATTTTTAGACAGCCTACAGTTCGTACAAAAAAATTTGTGGGAAACCAATGTATTTATTTTTCTTGTGTTTGGTTCGCATAGAAAAAATAAAAAACTTTTATTTATATGGCAAAAAGCCGACGTGGTTGTAGTTTTTGTAGATTTCATGAGGTTGAGGAAGGAATTAAGGGAGAGAGAAAATCTGATGTGGCGGCGATTTTCACCGAGTTTCCCTTCTTCAACCCTAGCGAACCAAAGATGGGAAAAAAAAATCGACGGAAAACTTATATCCTACGTGGCCACGAAAAATCTGATGTGGAAGCGGTGTAAAACTTTTCACCGAGTTAAAAAACGAACCAAACAGCCTCTTAACGAAAACCTTTTTGAGTTATTACTTTTCAGTTTTCATATTATATCTACAACAGAAGTAAGTACTTATAGTTTTCCTATGTAACGACATCAACCCTTATACACAAAACATAACATCTGATACCAAAATATAATATCATACTGCAGAACCTCACACATGCGACATATATAAACCTATTACTCATAAACCAAATATCATAAATTATCGAATAGCACTAGTTTTGGAATAGAACAATACTACAAGATATGATTGATACATATTCAATACAAAATACAAGATATGAAACAAATTTTATATATGTATAACCATTTGTGACCCATATAAAATGCTTCCAAAACAAAAGTATCTGGTATGTAATGAATCATATCAATCTGAATAATCATATGTCCTCAGTACACATGCATACCTATGTTATAATTATAAATACCACCAATATATTAAAAAAAGAAAATATCTTCAATGCAAATAATGTTTTAAACATCATTTCACTTCCTCCAATGTTGTTTTCCCCTACTTTAGCTTCGGCAAGTTCTGATCTTGAGATCAACGAGGAAACTCGTTTTAATAACGCGGGGCTGGACTCCGTCGTTTCATCTTTCTTGACGCGGGGGTCGACCTGCGCGTCTGAGATTTTTGACGCGAGGGTCAACCTACGCGTCTGAATTTTCTGACACGGGGTTAGACCTTCGCGTCTGAGCTTGTCTGGTGCGGGGTTCGACCTACGCGTCTGAGCTTGTCTGATGCGGGGTTCGACCTTCGCGTCTGAGCTTGTCTGATGCGGGGGTTCGACCTTCGCGTCTGAGCTTGTTTGACGCGAAGCTCAACCTTCGCGTCTGAGCTTCGATTTCGAGTTGTCTAACTCTTTCTGATGTGGCGGCGATTTTCACCGAGTTTCCCTTCTTCAACCCTAGCGAACCAAAGATGGGAAAAAAAAATCGACGGAAAACTTATATCCTACGTGGCCACGAAAAATCTGATGTGGAAGCGGTGTAAAACTTTTCACCGAGTTAAAAAACGAACCAAACAGCCTCTTAACGAAAACCTTTTTGAGTTATTACTTTTCAGTTTTCATATTATATCTACAACAGAAGTAAGTACTTATAGTTTTCCTATGTAACGACATCAACCCTTATACACAAAACATAACATCTGATACCAAAATATAATATCATACTGCAGAACCTCACACATGCGACATATATAAACCTATTACTCATAAACCAAATATCATAAATTATCGAATAGCACTAGTTTTGGAATAGAACAATACTACAAGATATGATTGATACATATTCAATACAAAATACAAGATATGAAACAAATTTTATATATGTATAACCATTTGTGACCCATATAAAATGCTTCCAAAACAAAAGTATCTGGTATGTAATGAATCATATCAATCTGAATAATCATATGTCCTCAGTACACATGCATACCTATGTTATAATTATAAATACCACCAATATATTAAAAAAAGAAAATATCTTCAATGCAAATAATGTTTTAAACATCATTTCACTTCCTCCAATGTTGTTTTCCCCTACTTTAGCTGCATTAACAAGGTTGCCGAGGCTCTCGTGTTGCAACATAATAAACCTCTCCATGGATTCAAAAGGAACGACAAAAATTAGTATGTTCATAAAATTATACCAGTTCATAACTCTCCCCTACCAGATCGTAAAATCATACCCAAAAAAGACAAAAATTAGTGCCTTCATAGTAATAGGTCAACAACAAAAAGCTCATATTCTTGCATTAAATATTCAAAGCCAGTAGTGAACTATTGTTGGCTATTTACGCTTTCAGATGAGGGGTTTCAGAGGTTCATGTTTGAAGAAAAACCATAAAATATATAAAATCCTTCACAAAATGCGATACACCCAAATGACCATATAGACAAAACACTTATATAGGTCTAGATACATTTTGACCCTCTCCGACATTCTACCTACATTTAAACCACAATCATCACATTTCAAATCAAAACGCTCTTAGAATTTCATCAAACACCTGCATCACCTACTGAACCAATCCTTCCTCTCATAACTACTAATCGTTGTGGTCCAAGTAACTATATTCCTCTTTGTCATTCCATCAAACACCTTTCATACATCGACCTCTTACCAAAACTTAGATACTTTGTGAGCAAAATGTTTCTGAATGTACCCATACTCTAAATCCTAAGCTTTATCACATCGTCATGCACAAATTCAACTTCGTTTCATTGGCAATCCAATTGAGAAAGCAAAGGTTTTTAAGAGGCGACTTTGATATATTTACTCAAAATACCTTAGAAAGTACATATATTTCCTAAAAATTGACTCATTTGGGAATTTGGAGAGAGCTATTTACCTCTGAGACATGTCCTCTGATACCGAGCAACAAATTCAGGGTTTTGGGAACGTCGACTAATTTAGGACTATAATTTGGAGTCTAGGGCATAATGCCCAATTGAATTGGTGATTGACCATGAATTCCCACGTTAAACTTGAGTTATCAGAGAATTCTAAAGCGTAGGTGACCGAAAAACGTTTCAAGGTGGAGGTTGTTCTAGGTCAATGGGAGATGAAGAGGTCTTTCTTTAGTACATTAGCAGCTAAGGGCACTTAGGGTACTATTGACAAATGGAGACGCATAGGTCTTTCTTTAGGTACACTAGCAGCTAAGGGCATTTTGGGCACTATCTTTTATTTTTAATATAGAGTATAATAGGCATGATGTATTTGATACTCTGGGTTTATAAGGGCATCTCCAACAGCTTCTCTAAAAATTTCTCCAAAATAGGGAAGCAAAAGTCATATTCTTCAAATTATTTTTACACAAACTCCAACAGCTTCCCCATTTTGAAGAATCTTTTTTTCCTCCAAGAATTTGGAGAATGCTGCAAATTTGGGGAAGCTTCCCCATTTTTTCTCCTCCATCCCTATTTTGGGAAATGAGATGGGGAATCTGTTGGACCAAAAATCTAACTAAATTCTCCAAAAGTGAGAAATTGAGAAGCTGTTGGAAATGCTCTAAATAAGGGGAGTTGTACTCTGGATGTATGGATCATAACGAAAGTAGGTGGGTTTAAAAATAAGTTGGAGTAGAACTTTGGGCTCAAAGATAGAAACCCCATAAAATTTTCTTTGCAAAATTCTTTGTTCTTTTCTCCAGCTACGCCCGTTCATCAAACGATTAATGGTAATAATAGTTGATAGCGGTGAAAAGGCGAAAAATACCCAAACGATTTATTAGGGGCTGTTTGGTTGGCACTTTTTACTCTTGTAAAGCTGCCAAAAGCTGTCAGTTTTGATAGCTTTACTTGCAAAAACGCCCAAAAATGGATATTTTTACAAATAAAACCATCAAAACTGACAGCTTTTGGCAGCTTTACGAGAGCAAAAAATGCCAACCAAAAAATGCCAACCAAACAGCCCCTTAGCGGATCTCTCCCTCCCCATTACTTTCTCCCAGCAAAATAAAAAGCAAAGCATCTCAGCTGATGGTATTATGATCCGATAACAAGATGATGGCTTCATATCCAAGGAATCGCTCAGTGTTAATCCCCCATCTGGAGCTGCTCGGTTCGATTTCTTATTTCTTTTTCCATCTCATTTATTTATTATTTATGATTATTTTTATCATTCCTTGAACTCATTTGATGATAATTTCGGCATTAATGCAATTTGTGAAAGACGATGCTGGTGACCTCTGGGATTATTCTTGACTGTAGGTTTGTTTAATCCTGAATTATTTTGTTGAGTAGCGTTGTCTTGGGCTTTTGATGCAGGATCTTCTGAGTCTACTTCATTTCATCTGTTATAACTTATCGAGTGTCTATGGCTACTCTCGACGATGTATGAATCAGACTCATATGCATCTTTCACTGTTTACTATTTTTTTACAGCTCGCAATATCTTTTTGGATAGTCTAGTTGGCTGTAGTTTGGGAACTTGTAAGCTTAAATTAGCATTTATTCTGTTCTTCTGATTTTTTTTTTAATTATAAGACAGGCTATGGGCGAGATATTTCAGGAAGCTGATTCTGAAAAAGGTATGCACGACGTTATTTGGGGTATTTGATAATGTTTCAGAACGGCTGCATATATTTTTCTCGAGTTCCCATGTATTCAATTTAGAAATGTCAGTTAACTAAGTGTTTGATTTGATGTTAGTTGTAATTAGTGATAACCAATGTTTATCGGACTGCGAAATTCATGCAGGTGAAGTGATACGAAAGGGAAAAGAAATCCTATTCCAGGTAAATAAGCTAATATTGCTTATTTTGTGATGAACAACTGATGACATGCATTACCTTTATATAGTTTTTGTTGAGTGATGGTTGCACAGTTCTCTTGCTTATACTGTTTATCTATGGAGACTTTAGTTTGCAAATCCAAGTGTTGACATTTGAAGTTCTTAAAACGTTGAAGTGCTTAGAGATCTTTTGGCTGATGACTCTGAAAAAAAAATGTCCCAAATCCTGTTGATTTTTTTTTTAATTAACAGGAAGACCCTTTTCTAATTCTGAGCCATAGGTTTTTTACGTTATCTCCTAGTTGAGAATAAGACAATGGTCAAACCAAGGAAATTTCAGAAAAGCAATAGATTATGGAAAACTTGCCGATTGAGTTGTGAAAAGCTCCTTGAAAACAACAAAGACACTATGCTTGGTATAATGGTAGATGGAAGGATGGGCAAATGGGAGAGACCAGATTCACATTATGGAAGTGGCTGAAAAGTATGTTTCCTTCAAGAAAGAAAAACTTATTGAAAACAGAAGTAAAGTATGAAAAAAAATTCTAGGAGAAAGTTTCAAAATATACCCATTTGAAACTTTATTCCCCAATTTTGACCCAGTCCAGATATATTTACAAAAATAGACCCAGTTTCGGCCATATCAGTAGAGCAGCCAGAAACTTGGATGAATTTAAAAAAAATCATTGTCTAAATAGTCAGGGTTGCCAACCTGACTAATCAAAAGTCATATCTAACTAATCGGGTTGGCAAACCCAACTAATTAGATAGGGTCTCTAAATAATCGGGGTTGTCAACATCGATTAATTAGTATAGGTCATAAAATAGTTGAGGATGGCAACCCTAACTATTTCTTAGATACTTCACTAAACATGCCCTCAAAACTTTTTCTAAGTATCGAAATAGTTGGGGTTGCCAACTCCCGACTATTTTGACACTTAGAAACTTTTTTTGAGGGTCTCTCGACTGGAGTCTTTGCGAAATAGTCGTGGTCGCTAATCCCGACTATTTTGCATATAACTTGGATTTTTTGCCCTTATATTCAGAAGTTTCCCTGCTATATCATATTCAGTCCATAACCAATTTCGCTTACAAATAAACATGTATATCAAGTATATGAAAAAAAATATATAATCTTAACTAAATGCAACAATCACACATGATAAAATTAACAACCACTAACAATGAAATAACAATCACAATGACACAAATATGTAATACCGACTAAACTCAATTCAACAAATAGAAAGAACTCTTTTTCCTCTCCCCCTCCCTCGCCCTCGTCTCCGTTCCCCTTCAAGATGATCTTTGATGATCTCATTGTCTGATTGTGTGCGAAGTTACAAATGTATGACATTGTCCTCTACTGGAAACCGTTGTGAAGGTCCGTCTTAATCATGTGTATGACTTGAGCCCGACATGGTAAGTCCTAACAACCGTCAACGCTCGTACACTAGAACTCGTTCTTGATATCCGTCATGATCTGCGTGGCGCATCTTCCCAAGAGCGGATTGAATCTTTCATATGATGCGTACAAATGCACCCTTGCTCGGTTGGCGATCTGAAGACATCTTGTGCAATAGAAGCCGCCTCATTGAGTTCTTATACCTACAAGATAACAATCGGAAGGAGATGATTAACAAAATAATAATGAAAATTCACAAAATAAGTGTAAATGTTATCTATCTACTTACAAATGCTCTCTTAATTGGACCTCTAGGCATGTACGTGGAAGGTGCTTTGTTCTCCGATATATTCATCGGCGAGTAATCCCCTAATACCAGCATATATGGTGCGTCATCTCTCTCCATCACTATTGCACCCACCCTCAAATCCCAATCATCATTGTATGACTGATGAACTATCTCCCAATTTTGATAATGTACTCCCTTTTGGGGATTGCACTCTATTCTTTCTACAAGATCTAGAATGTGCTATTTTAAGCTAAATTGTCAAAGCACACAATCGGACATGTGCATCTCGACAATCTCAAAGCATATGATCAGAACTCTGACAAGCCATATACCTTTATCATCTTTGCAAATATCTAGTAGTGAATCTAAAACTCCTCCTTAGGGCATCCACTTGACCTATGAAAAACATTAGAGAAATTTACATATTAGTAAGATTTGATATATTGCTTGAGTATTGTTAGATTTTATGATTTTATGCTTGTTTATTCTCTATTTGATCAAGTTCTTTCCTGTAAAAAATTTCGTGACACTTCGGGTTACTTTTCCAATATCTGAAGACATTCCATCCATTTGATGCAGAAAAGTTCAGTGTAGATTGAAATAAACATTAGAAGTTATATGTAATAATACTCATATACCTACATCCTAATAGAATATCACCATCAAGAACTCGGGGCTCCTTCAAATCCAGTGTTCCAATATGCCATCGTTCCTATGACTAAATTTGCAACAAAGTGGTGCAGCTTTTGAATTCCTTTTTGCATGAGTGCGACTTTTGTCATCTCCTTACATAGATAGGCTAGCAGCACACTCCCTTATGATAATTCTCCACACACCTCAAGATTATCAAGAAGTGACAATTATATAACATGCATAGAATCCTTGGTTGAATCCGGAAATAGAATAGTGTCGATCATATGCATTATGTATGCCCAAGCATATGTCTTGATGATCTCGTTTGTGGCCTCCATCGGTACATTTATATAGTTCTGACGTAGCCACTTGAGCTTAATCTTGTCACCATTTATATTAGGAGCTTGAGCCAATAAACCTTCACACATTTCTATCCAATTAAAATCATTGGTACACATAACAACAATCCCATTAACTTTGAGGCTAAATATAACCCCTACATCCTGCAAAGTAATAGTTGTCTCCTTATTGCATGTGCAATGTGTTTGTCTAGGGCCTTCATCATTCAATCAAAGCTGTCAAGAGAGGCTAATCGAGCCTTATCCATTGCAACTTTAAACATTCGAAAAAGCTTGCTTGACGAAGATATTCTTGGACACGTGGATTCGTCAAATCCTAATTTAAATGTGCACGACTGTGATCAATTACAGTAATATTCGAGGCCTGCATAAATTACAAAAACAATATGTATTACATGCAACAATCATTAAAATATATTGAAAAGTTTAAATGATTGAACATGTTGACATATTAGGATAGTTGAGGGGGTTATTTGTAATATGTGTTAGTAGGGGGCCTATATAAGCCAATGTTATCTCATTAATAAGATTAGAGTTTCTATTCACAATTTGGTATCAGAGCAAAAATATCTAGCGCCACAAAACCCCACCCCCCTTCCGCTCCCCCTCTCCAGGATCCCCCCACTATAGATCCTCCTTCCGCCTCCCCCCACCACCTGCAGACCCCCTTCCCAACCGAACCCCCTGCAGACCCCCCTTCCGGATCCCCACTACAGACCCCCCTTCCGCCTCCCCACACCACCTGCTCACAACCAGCCCTCCCATGACCCTCCCTGCTCACAACCACGCCCACCTGCAGACCCCCTCCCCAACCGTAACCCCTGCAGCCCCTGTTCATAACCGTACCCCCTGCAGCCCCACCCACTGCAGACCCCTCCCGACCTCCTGCCGCATCACCAACCCCCCCAAAGATTAGACCCCCTACGATCAACCCTCCCTCAGACCCGACCCGCCCCTAAAAAAAAAAAATTGCTCTTGACCGACCGCCCCTTGCTGCGTCATGCCGGACCTAGAGTTTGACATGTGTTCCCTCGACTCAGTCCTCGAACTGATGACAGGAAGAGTATATATCTCACATCGATGAGATATATAACTGTTTTTGGTTCTTGTTTCCTCTGAGAAACGAGAATTTGTTTGCGATCCTACTCTTGTTGTGCAGCAGAGGTGCTGTCGAAATTTTCACTGCACACAACAAGGGTCGGAAGAGTAGGTGACCAGGTGTTGGGTCTGCAGCCTGTTCGATGGAGGAGATCATCAAGAAGTTGAACCCTGCGGAGGTATCAACTTTGATGAAGCTAATGAAGTTGTCGGCTGGTGAGAGCGCGATAAAACCATCGAAGAAGTTGGAGCTTCCGACCATCGATCTGAAGCTGGATGGACCTAGTACGTACCTAAGCTGGTCACGGCGGGTGAGATACACCCTTGCAGGGAGGAACCTGGAGGGTTATCTGACAGGAGAGGCGACAGAGCCGGATGAGGACTCGGAAGGACGAGATGAGTGGAAGTCCACTCACATGTTGGTGTATATCTGGCTCCTCAACTCATTGGTCCAGTCGATCGCCATCACAGTTGATGGCATTGAGAAGGTGAAGGACGTCTGGGAGAAGTTGAGGAGGATCTATGATGGAGTAGGGAATAACCTGCGGGTGTTTCAGATTAAGGGAGAAATCGACGCTACAGTCCAGGGAGATCGGACTGTACAGGAGTATGCTACAGAGCTGGAGCGTCTGTGGCTAGATTATGATCACTTCTCACCTCGGGCGAGCTGTAAGGACCCGGGATGTAAAGAACGGGAGGCCTTCCTACAGAAGAGGACTATGGTCTTCCTCAAGGGATTGACATCAGAGTTCGCTCAGCGAATTGCATTGCTACTCGCTCATCCGAAGATTCCCACGTTTGAGGAGGCTGTCTCTGCTATGATCCAGGAGGAGACTCGTATTAGGCTGCAGGTGGGGACATGTGGACTTCTTGTGGTGAAGTCAGCACTGGCAGCCTCTAGCAACACTGGATCTAGGGGAGAGACTCGACAGTGCTACAACTGCGGTGCGGTGGGTCATTTAAGGCATGCTTGTACCAAACCACCCAAGGAAGGAGATTCGGGTGGACGTGGACAGTTCGGAGGTCGTGGTCGTGACCGTGGGGGTCGACGAGGTGGAAGAGGAGTAGGGAACCGGGCGAATCTGATGGTAGCAGAGGAAGAAGAAGCTGAGGTGGTCTTTACTAAGGAGGATCATGCTCTCCTGACGATACTCAAGAGGAAGCAGAAAGCAGGAGGGGATGGAGACTTGAGGAGTGGGACTGAGAAGGCATCCACTTCG